CAACATCCTGAAATAAAAATCTAAACCCAATTAACCAGTAAAAAAAAAGATTTGAATATAAAATAAACTTACAACTTAATGGTTTTCTTGTGATTTAAAGGATATTGTAGTTTTTTGTTCTTAAATTAGCCGTCAGCAAAATAGCTGGTGAGGACCAGCAAAATGTCCTCCCTTTACAACAATCGTTCCTTAGTGTGACGGTGAAATCAGAAAAATGCTCCTCCCACTGATGCCGAGGACCATATACACAGATATATACATATATGTAAATACTTGTTTGTAGTTTTGTATGTATGTGTTCTCCCTCATGTAGGTAAAAAAAAATGAATATCAGATGTGACGTGTCAATTAATCTTCATCATTTTTATAGCTTTAATAATAGTATTGTTATTATTTATAGAATTTTTAAAGGGGTACCTTTTTTCAGTATTTTTGGTCGATGGCTCTATCCTACAGCAAAAATTATTTTACCACACATACAACATGCTCTACTTTTCCTTTACCTGAGATATGCGATCAATTATATTTCAAATTAATGGTATTCCCTCTAAAATTAAGAAATCAAACATAAGTGACATACATAACAATATGTTCAAATTTGTTTTAGAATGATTAACTGAAATAATGAGTTTAATGGCATAAAAGTATATCTAAACAAAGCATCTTAGAGTTATTTTCCACCACCTTCGATGTTTTTATTTGTCTCTTCAGTCACTTGCAGTTGGGTAATCCAAATTCACACAGCAGAGCTCATTAATTATTCAACAAATCAAGAACTAACTGTCATTGGAGAAATAGAAACAGCCAGGTATTGCTTAAATATCATGCATCATCATGGGTCATTTCTCAGATCATAAAAAAATGTCAAAGTGGAAGTTAGTGTTTCACAGTGAGTGAGGCTTGAATAGCGACTAACCATCTATTAAGAGCAAGTATTCAACTATTTTGGCTTTACAGTTGCACATTATAAAAACTGAACCTGAAAGATCTTCTTGTCTTTCCTGTCAGGGAAGAGGTTATCTAAGGGTTACACCTTACACTACCATGTGGTCCGTTGATATGCCGCTTTCTGCCCTCGAGTGGTATATATATATTTATTAGATTTTCTGAAGATCAAGGCATTAACCCTTA